AATCTGACTTAGAGTACTTTTGTATGAAGACAAGTTAGTCACTTTGTGAAAGTCTGTAAAATATTGTAAAGTTATTTTAATTTTCCAATAAAGACAAGCTATCGTGGCATGATTGCGGGTTAAAAAAAAAAAAAAAAAAAAGAAAAAAAAAAAAGAACCTAAAACTCTTATTAATTAAATAGAAAGATCTTATTTCATACAAAGTTATTATAGAAATTGAGTAATAAAATAAAACTTTAGATAATTTAATTAGATAATTTATCAAGAATATTAATAATAAAACAATAGTCTATCAGTAAATACAGCAAAATAGAATTAAAAAAAAATAGTATTATCAAATTTATAATATCAAGTTTATATAGCAAATCTAATGAAAGAAAGAATAAAAAATAAATATACATAAAATAAATTTTTCAAAAAATTCGAAAAAAAGTTTTCTTATTAAATTAATTAATAATAAACTATTAATATTAAGTAAATTGGTTATAAGAAGACCTGATCTATACAAGTAAATAAAATATATTATATATAATTAATAAGAAAAATTATAAAATACTTATTAGAATATTTAGCTTATAAGGATCAATTATAAGTAATATAAAATAATAAAGTAAATAAAATCTTCACAAATTACAAAGAATTCTCATAAAAAAAAAAAAAAGAAAAAAGGTTGAAGAAAAAAATAATAGACTAATTATCAATAATTGAAAAAAATTAGGAGTATTTGACAAGTAAATCTCTAAACTAATGAAATAGAAAGTTAAAACTAATTCAAATACTTTAAGTTTTAATATTGATTTTATAAAAAATAATCTTATTCTAGAAAGGTAAATCTAAATATCATAGAAAATATATAAGAAGAAAAGCAAGAAAATGGATAATAAAAATATAAAAAGGAATTTGTAATTAAATTTAAAAAAATTTTTAAAGCATAAGATATAAAAAAATAATTAAATAAAAACAAATATAGAAAATCTATAGAGTAGATAAGACAAAAAGATTTTTATGTTCTTTAAGTAAAAAAACTATATTTGTAAAGAGAAGAAAACTATTAATGAAAAAAAAAAATCTAGAAAATAAAAGTTTTAAGAACATCCTAACAAAAAAAGTGAAGTATAAAATGTAATATTCTATTAGAATATTAAAAAATAATCTATAATAATAATTTATAAACAATAAAATTAACAGTTGAAATAATTTTTACTTGAATTATTAATAGAATAATAAATTATTATTATTATTATTTTTTTTTAACTTACAATTATGTTACAATAGCATGTCTTTATTGAGATATTGAAAGATACCACAATGTTTATAAACTTTTACAAAGCAACTAACTTATTATTATACATTATTAGTTGAAGGACTACACTACTTAAAAAATATGAGGAGTTTACTAAGCTAGTTTGGACTAAACAAAACTAAGTCTAAACTAGGTACTTTAAGTTAGATTTAGGGAATAATATTACACTTTTCTAGTAGCTTGATATGAAATCTCTAAATCAATCAGGATCATTGCCAATAGTTTGTTACTATTGATTATTTCAAAAAATAATGAATTGTTAAAATTGATACTGGGAAAAAGGAGAAAGGGAGATATAATTCAAAGCCTTCCAAAAGGTTCTTGCTCTATTTCATAATTTCCTCTTAAAAGAGGTTTGTCTGATTGAAATATTTTTTAAGCTTTATGACATTTGAGGAACTTAACTATTTTTGAAAGTGATTAAATTTATAGATTTCTATTTAAAACAAGTTTATTAGAAAATTCAATTTAGCTTATATTATATATAATACTTAAGTATATGTACCAAGTAATCAATGCATGCTACTGACCTAATAATAGCACAAAGTAAATTTTGTGTCAACTTTTTTAATTCATTGATCACATTATATGCAGAAATATGTAGCAACAATTTCAACAATAACAATCCATGTAATAGTGTTCAAGGTGTATTTACACTTTCAGGAAATGATTTCGGTGAAAGGTATTATCATGTAAAGAATTTCCATAATAATGCAATTACATATTAGGTTGGTTAACTTGGCAAAGATTGGAGGAATTATGAAATGACGTCATATATTTTGGGTATAAAATGACGAAAAATTTTTTTTTAAAAAAAATATTTTTTTTAGCATAATCAATGTATAGGGAAAGAGGTCTTAACTTCACTAATGTCATAATCTCAGATCAGGGCCTTACCGTGACCTATTCAGACGGACACCCTTCTCGGTGGCCAAGTAAGACCCGTCCTGTTCCAGATCCCGAGAATGGTGATGTCATATACTACCGACCTATTGCCTCGGAGGAATCGAAAACTGATTTGTACCTGGTCAAAGCAGGCGGAGCTCTCGCCAAGGCTATAGAAGAAACTTCGAGTTTGACCGTTCCGAAACGTAAGTATTCGTTTTTTTATATCTGGTTTAGTTTTGTTAATAAGTCTAATAAGTTCGTTTTGTTCTTCCCGTTGTATATTCAAGCCGTCTTAACTTCACTACCTCAGGGTTATGCGTTATTTGAGCATATTAAAAATTATACAAATAAGGATGAGCCTAGGAAAGATACTTACTTATTTGGTATGACTTGATGATGGGTAATTGCCGTATTAAACAGTACAATACCATCATGATTAATATTTAGGCGATTAATTAGGTAGCAGTATTTCAAGGTTTCGTTCACCTCACGAGTTCGAAGAACATCTGATATGGATGGCATCAGATAAGACTAGTCGGTGCATATGCAAATACTGTAGTCCTTTCGGGTATGAACCGTCGCCACGTAGACAGAACAATATAAACTCGAGTAATACGAATTCAATCAACTCTCATGGGAATGCTACATCGGGATCGAGCGGAAGATCTCTTGCATCTAGAATTGTAACTGTTTCTGAAAGGAATAGTATCTCTCCAGTTGTAACTCGAGGGCCTGTTTTTGAATCAAAATCCAGTTCGTCGAACAATGAAGACATAAAATTATTTGATAATGTTAATAATAGGTTTAGACGTGGTGAGGTGGTGTGGGTTGATATTGATTATTTCTTAACTCCGGTTCAGCGGCGACAATTAGTCATCCAGGTTGGGGATGATCGGATAAAATATTGGCCAGCGGCTGTGGTGAATCATAAGAAGGCTCCGTACGTTAATGATCCTTCGGTGCGAATTTCGCAAGAGTCAATAACTCTATATCACCTACAGGTATTAATGATCGGAGATATCACGGACCTGCGACAGAAAGCAATTTTACCGTGGCACAATCTTGATCCTCACGGTATTATTCGAGATTTTGATGAGCTAAAATACACCGCACGGGATGAATTGGTGGTCAAGTTTATTGAAGCGGTAAATAATGCGATGCGGGCGGCTATGACATATACACCGCTGATAAAAGATGATTCTCCTGCTTCTGTTGTAAGCTCGGCCGCAAATGAATCAGAAAGGAAATATCATCAACGACTGAAATCATTTTCTCATTATAAAGCAATGTTATTTGGCCCCGAATTTTTTAAAAAACATGATTTTATTCGGATCAAACGTTCCGACGAAAGAGATTCGCGGGTCAAGGAAGAACAACCTATTTTTAGAATTAAAAGAATTTACAAGGACGACAAGAAACATTTTAAAATGATGGGCGACATTTATATAAAAATGCCAAAAGACGATGGTGGTGTGAAGCTAGTCAAAATGAATGATAACGACCCAGATTATAACATTGATATCGCACAGATAGCTGGCCGGTTTTATACTCTTTACCCAAATACCGTGTGCAATACTAAAGTCAAGGAACAAATAGATTTACACGACAGGGTGTCAATCTTGAAAAAAGAACATTCATCATCATTGGAAATTCAGCGACAGCAAACAGCTAATCGTGCGATCCCATTTGACGATAATTCTGCGTTACAGATAAATGAAGAAAGTACGGATCATTACGGTCTTATGGACGCTTTACCTATCATTGTTAAGGAGGAAGAAACCGAGGATATGAAATTCCTTACATCTTTGATCGCCGTCAAGGAAGAAAATAACGACGATATGATGGATATTAATTAAGTGATAACGAGTCACCGGATTAGTAAAAATCAGCTCCTTTGTTGTAGTATTTAATTATTCTTTTCAGCTTAGCCTTCGGCAATTTATTGGGTTAGGCTATTTAATATTATCCTTATTTCATCCACATTTATTTCCTTTCACCTCGTATTTTCGATGTTCAAATTGTGCCTCTAGTTAAAAATTCCATGGGTTCATTCTTTGATTTAATTAATTAGTCAGCAGCTTATACATAGAAGATATAATCCCCTTCGACTTTCGCGGGATGAGATGTGAAAGGCGCGGTGGTTCCAAAAAATGTAATACAAATGAAGTTATGCGGTTCAGTAATCGCGACTTCTCTGCACATGGAGTTTGTCCGTGATTTTTCGTGGGGATTTCTATCGGTACATTTTGCGATCGAACGATATATTATATTCAAGGTGGGAAGTCGGGTTTCCCGTTGATGACGCAATGGTCTATATTTTTTATGCATTCATAAATTTGAAATCTTTCCTTAACTCACTGTCAACCGATTTGAGTAGTTACAGGCGTGAGCTTGTATTAAATAAGAACATGATTTTTATGTCATTGTGAATAATAACAATAACAATAATAATAATAATAATGATTTTTTTTTTTTTTTTTTTTTTTTTTTTTTTTTAAAAAAAAGTTTTCTATAAAATCAAACGAGACATAAGATCTCACCGACAAAACATCTATGTCTAAAGTTTGGCAAGCCATTCCGGTGGTATGCCAACTTCGAAGCTTAATAGCATTTGCGCATATGTTTTCCCTTGTCTGTCAATGCGTAGAGAACTCAGTCCTCCGCCTCCTACACAAAACAATGTGCTTAAGTTAGCATTAAACATAGTATACCGTGTATGTCTTCAAGTTTCTCACCTAAGCATCTAGTCAATACAAAATTCAGCCCATTAATTCCGGGCAGCTCATATCTTTTTACTATTCCACGACACAAATGTGACATATATTCCCTGACAGCCTATACCAATTTACGTAAAAAGTGTTAAGCATCACTAGTTCACCCAAGAGATTAATTTAAGGCGGACTATACTAACTCCTTCTGTTAGGGCACTTTTTATGTACGGAAGATATTTAGAGTCCCTTGATATGATCCCTAAAAAATGAACACAATCGTCCAATTGACCATCGCGTCGTTAATCTTAAAGATACATTTGATAGGATCGCCTACCAATATTGCAAGTATCGCCCTTATCCCCGCTTCGTCCCCATGCCAATCTTATCAATGGCACTTTGACTAATGTATCATCTCCAACACTCTTCTCATGTCCTTCACCATACTGTAGTGGAGGGGGTATTTCGCTTCCATCAAGAGTAGGGCATTCGAAGAATACAGTCAAGGAAGGATTTTTGCCAACTGTGACCATCGCCGAAACTTCATTTTTCGAAATAAGGCATGAGAAATGTACGAGAAGCGGAGAAGGATGAGGTCGACCCGTTACCCCTCCTATAAAAATAAGTAATGTGGTTTTGAGGCAATAGAATGTGCATGTAAAGACCAGTTTAATCAGTATTTACCTGTGACTCCCGGTGCCATGCACGTAGCAGCCTACGAAAAAATTATCCAATGTCAAAGGAATTAAAGACAAGGGAGGAAAAAAATCCGGGAAATCAATCCAATAAATGCCAAGCATACCGGGGCAAGTTCCATTCCAAAGTATTTTAACGCGCGTATGTCTTCGTGATGAACCGTAATATTCAGGACAACTTCGCGCGTATCACGATTCCTTGCATGAGGCCTGATGATATTTTGGGAAGTGAGATAATGTCGATTTCCTAAAATCTGATTAGAATGATTGTATCTTCACCCATAAGTATGCTCGGCTCCCAATATATCGATATTGACATCGCGGAAATTCGCCATTTTAAGTTTCATTAACAACATGCGCACTCTCAATAGAATTGCGCTTCCCACGGCAATTGCCTAAATGACATAGATTATTAGAATACCCTACACAGTCCGACCCATTAAGAATGTCACCGTCATCTTACCTTTTTCCGCGCATCAACCCCTCCGATGACCAATGACCCAGTCATTTTGTATCCGTCCGCGTATATTCCGGAGACCTTTAAGAATTTAGTTGGAGGCCTTCCCTTCGCTCCGGTCACCAACACCCTATTCTCACCTATCTGTTTCAATTTCACATTTCTCATGTCTAAAATTACATCGGGCAAAATGTACGAGCCAGGATCCAGTGTCTCATACAACATTTGTTCGCCAACTGTTGCCGGCGTCACGAGTCCGCCAGTATCTTTGGGTTTTGTTATCACAAATTCCCCGTCTGAAAAACATTCAGCAATAGGATAGCCCATGTTCGACCATCCTCCACCAGGGGTAAAGGCGATTTGCTCCCAGTCCGTGAAATTTCCTCCGGTGGCTTGACAACCACATTCCACAATGTGCCCAGCTAATGATCCGGACGCCAACTTATCCCAATCACGAGAGGGATCCCACCGGAACTCATGAATCAAGGGACCCAGGACCAAGGCGCTATCCACACATCTGCCAGTGACTACCAGGGTAGCACCAGAGTCCAATGCATTCGCAATCGGAATAGCCCCGAGATATGCATTGAGCGAGATGATCTCTTTTTCGTCATCGGGAAAGAACTCGGCATCCTCTTTGTTACCGTGAATGTGACTGAATTCACGGACATCACCTTTCCCTCCATATTCTTGACTCAATAGGTCATCACCAGTAATCGCAGCAACGACAACTTTCCCTTCTTCGACACCAATTTCTTTCACAACTTTCTCAATCGCCAATTTGCATGCCACAGGATCCAACCCTCCGGCGTTGGTGACAATTTTAATGTTGTATTTAATGATATCGGGTAGCAGTCGTCGGAGAATAAAGGTTATAAATTCGGCAATGTAACCACCTTCACCTACACCCCCTAGACCTTTTCTCTCATTAGATAGTTTGGGATTCCTACGACGAGCCAGGATTCCCATTGTCACCTCTGCTTACGGATAGAAAGGTATTATATTTTGGAAAGAATCTTACGAAGGAGATTGGGCGAGGAATTACCGGAAAGGTAGTCAGCAACCAAATAATTCAAATTGGAGCCTTCTTGCTTAACCAATTGATCCGCCGCATATATTGAATCGCCCCAAAATGCACTGGAAACATTGCAAGAAAATTAGAGGATGACTAATATTGCTTATGGAAATGAACTATTTACCCGTAGCATCCGATGCGAACGGATTTTGCTGTCATGATTTTTAAAATCTTCCGAAGAAACGAATTGGGAAAGCTTTTTGTTGCACAAAATCAGCTAAACGTGCTACCGTCATAAATCACGTGAAAATGGTTGCTGATTATTCCAACACAAATTTTAGATCTATTGTTAAATAAATAGTTTGTCACCGAGTTCTTGTGGGTGGTTCGAATTTTTTCTTGTAATTTTAGAAGGTTATTGGGAATAACACTACTCTACCGCAAAAACAGACGCTCTCGTTGCTTTAATAAGGAGAGAAAAACAAACCTATACTCACAATTCTCACCGAACATGAATGATCCTCAAATCGGCACAAGTCGAGGAAATTCCATGCAACCTATTCCATCCCTCATGGAAGGTAAGGAAAAGGATTTTGGTTGAGTATTTATTTATGCTTTCCTTTAAAATACAAAATTTTCTTTCCCAAAGAAACAGTCGATTTATCACCAACCTTGATGTCGGCAATTGACGATCTTTCGATCGACAACTCGGAAGATTCTGATGAGGGGGAAGGGACACAGGTAGATGATGACAGTGAGATGGATACTTTGGAAAATGGGGCATCAAGTTCGGTGCGCATCATTTAGTTTTTCTAGACGTGTTTTTGGGATGGGCTGGTTTTGCTCATTCACTCGGTGTTCAACGTCTTCGCCTTCACAGAGAAATAGGTATGAACGTCCTTATTTGACTGCCTCGCATAACAATGGATTCGGAAATTCAACCACGACGCTATCTCAACCGATTGCTCCAGTGGAACGCGACACGGTAATTGTTAGTCAGCCCACCGCAGCAATGATCACGAATTTCCGATTAAGAAACCCCCTGGAACAAATGTCACGGGAAGAAATATTCAATTTCATCACAAAGTAGGATGTGAGATTGCCTAATGGCCGGTGTATAAATTAATTCGCAGAATATCTCATTAAATACTTTATGATATTAAGCCCTGTTCCGCAAGGTCAGAAGGTTCTCTGCAAGATAACTCGTAGCAAAGACGGTTTCGGAAAGCTTTACCCTCAATATGAACTTTATATTGAAGAGACATCGGAAAATGGAGAAGAGACCACGTCATTCCTTCTCTCGGCAAAGAAAAGGAAGAAAAGCAAAAGTTCGCATTACGTGATTACGACGGATAAACCTGGTGCGCCTGTGACAGTCAAGAATACAGTTGGCAAAGTCAGGTGGGTTGACATCCGCACATCCTTTCGGAGATGCGAAACGAGAGGGAGGTACGGTGTTTCACAATTAACTTGCGATCCTTAGATCTAATTTCCTGGGAACGGCCTTTGTGATATATTCAAATGGTAAAAACCCTTTCAAGCGCGAGCCTGAATTAACCGACCACCCCATTAGGGAGGAGTTAGGTGCAGTCGTTTATGTGCGTTTGCTAACATATTGACACCATGAAATTTCTCATCCGTCATTCAGAGGGATGAAAGATAACCGACAGTCCATTAATTTACTGTTTTCAGGATCCCAACATTCTTGGATTTAAAGGACCACGAAAAATGACCGTTCTGTTGATAGGAATGACCAGGGCAGGTCAAAGACCCGAATTCCGTCCGACAAAGGTCCGGAGCGATTTTCCTGCGGACGATAATAATCAATGACAAAAAATTTGTATCAATTATTGACCATCTAACACGATACACAATATGATCTATAGGAATCACAAACGTTAATTGGGAAATTTAGGAATGGTGATCACCGAGATATATTGGTTCTACACAACAAATCTCCGCAGTGGAACGAAGGTGTTTGGAAATTACACTTGAGCATCGTTTTGTTTCTTAATGAGTAATTTAATAACATATCCTATCCTGATACAGACACACAGTCATACGTTCTCAACTTCAACGGTCGCGTGACCTTGGCATCAGTAAAGAATTTCCAAATTGTGCATGACAATGACCGTACGTTTTAACTTTGATAAAAAATTTTTGACATGTCGTCAGATGACACGAGAGGGATGTGTCTTTGTTTCTCTAATATATTATTATTACTATCATTATTCAAAATTTAGTTGATTATATTATAATGCAATTTGGTCGTGTCGAGGAAGATACATTTACCATGGATTTCATGTATCCGATGTGTCCCCTTCAAGCTTTCGCGATCGCATTAACAAGCTTCGACGCAAAGTTGGCGTGCGAATAACTTACTTTCGAGAGCACATTTGATGGTAAGCTTAGAACTTTTGTTTTCGCCGTTTCGTTGCAGAGAGATGACCGATGGTGTGCATCAAATCTAATGATTATTAAAAATTGCGGGATAGACGGGCTCCATTCGGGTATTTGAATAGACGGACACGGCGATCTTTACATAACGGGTATCGACTAGATGTTTGGACAATCTAAGTCGTTAAGTTTGCTAAGGGATTGGGCATGTACGAATTGTATTATAATCATAGTATAGATATCTGTATGAATATGTTAAATTTGCGGTGAAATGTCTCGCGAATGTCAGGATATTCGTTCTCCCTCTATTTAATAACATTGAAAAATATATAACTTCATTCATTTTTCGACTTCATGTAAAATTCAGTTTATTTTCAGAGACAAATAATATTAGAAAGTCAAATTTATACCATTCAATTTACAAATCAAAATATTTTTAGTTGTTAAAGATTGCTAAAGGGTTCTTCCCAAAATAAATCAAATAGATTATTTATTAGTAGAAGTTCAAAGTTTTAAGAAACGCATGTTTCCATACACTTCATTATTGCATGAAAGGGCGAAAGGGAAAGCATTCGTGGAAGACAAATTGTTAGACCAGTAATTCCACGAGAAAAGTCGACTAAAGATTTGTGACGCACGCGAAGAGTATATTGTTTAGAAGAGCTTGTTTGGAATCATCGTTCATAAAGAAAATCCATATGCCAATTACGTGGTACAAAGTGGTTCTACTGGATTCATTTTATCGATCATCGTGAGATGTGGCTGTCCATTCTTGTCTCAAAGACATTAAAATCAACCCTGGATCCTCGGTGTTAAATTAGTATCCTCTTGGAAGAGATGTTTTTCTCCAACATTATGAGATTAAATATCAACAATTTTTGCCATCGGTACTCTACTGGTGGAAATGGTGAGCGATTTTAAATTTCGTTTTCGTTTTTTACTCGCATTCTTCTGTCCGATTTTAATCGTAACCTGCTTGGGTTGAACAAAGCCATTTATAGTTCTTTAAATAGAGAAATCGCGGTAATCACCGGAGGTACCGGGGGGATAGGTTACGAGATTGCTCGAAAGTTTGCTCGAAATGGTATACGCTGTGTTATACTTGGTCGTAAGAAGGAGAAGATTGAAGAATGTCAGGCGAATCTTATGAATAAGGAAGGGATGAAGGAATATCCCGAACACGTAGGATTCGTTTGTGATGTTAGAAATTCTGAAGAGATTGAAAGGATCTGTGAGGTGGGTTTAAGAATTGCAGGATCACCTCGAGGAAAAATAGATTTTCAAACAAAGCTTCCTTGAAAACTTATTTCCTTAGAGTATTTCAAAACTTGGAAACATTGGTTATTTGGTCAACGCCGCAGGTACGGTAGGATGTGCAGTTGGGTTCAGAGTATCAAGCGTCGTTGAATTAAATTTTCCCTACGAATTATCAAGGGATAGCACGTGATAGTCTCGCCGTAAGGTTAAAGAAACAAGATGTTCAAGACACGATTCAAACAAATTTGCTAGGGACTATTTACATGTGCAGCAATATCGCCAAATACATGATCAGACAAAGGCAAGGTATTACTCGAATTTCACAATCCATTTTGAACGCAGGTATACATACAATGTTTATTGACGAGAAGTGAATCAGGGGGTTGTATAATCAACATTTCAAGTGTGGCTGGAATACATGGAAATGTGGGTCAGTCGGTATATGCCGCCTCAAAAGCTGGAATAATAGGTTCTTGTCATCCGCGTGTTTCGAAAGAAAAAAAAAAAAAATCTCGACAATTTTTCATTCAATCAACAGGTTTTTCAAAGTCATTGGCTAAAGAATTAGGGTCCAGAAATATAAGGGTTAATGCGATCGCTCCGGGTTATATAGATACTGATATGACATCAGGTGAATTTTTTACCATGATATCGACACAAATGATCTTATTTTGACCACGGGATTTTTTTTTTTTTGGACATTTGAATATAAAAGAGATAACCGAAGACAAAAGAGAGGGGATCAAATCGAATACGATTTTATATAGATTTGGTAAACCAGAGGTACCGTGCGACTGCATATCATCCCAACAAATCCCAGGAATTAATTGAATTGATTGATACATTAGGAAGTAGCAGATGCTGCGATGTATCTTGCCAGAGCCCAATTTGTAACCGGACAGGTTAGTGGTGTTCGGGGTTCGGTAGTACGCGTGTGATTAACTACAATCGTTTAACTTGATCTTTTAAGACTCTTATTGTAGATGGAGGTCTGAACATTTGAAGCTTCAAACGGGTGAGAAAGGTTTCGAGAAAATCCGACACAGTTGGTATATGAGATGCATCCGGATTTTTAGCTTTCAACAAAAATATTTAACAAACTACATACCCTTCAATTATTATTTCTAGTTAATATTAAATAATATTTTAATATCAAAAATATTATTACCATTTTTTGCTTTTTGATTAACAAAGCCTTATTCCTATTCTTGAAGAATATTTTCAAGGATCATTAATATCTTTTTTTTTCTTGTTTATAAATCTTTTGATCAATAACTTGATTTTTAAAGTCAAGTAATTTTACTATCAATAGTAAAATTTTTATCTTTGAAGTAAATATTAATAGAGATTTTTTGTAATATAAGATTTTTTTTTCTTTTCTTATTAGCTATGTATATTTATTAAAGCTTTCACTTTTATAATTTTTTGAAAAATTTTGCTTATTTCAATTTGATTTTGAATTTTGAATAATACAATTTTTATCAAAAATAAAAAATAAAATATATTAATTTTTGAAATAAACTTTTTATTATATTATATATTCAATAATTTTTTTTTTTTTTTTTAATATAAAACATATTCACTTTATTGAACTTTGATATAATATATTTTACTTTAGTAAGCAAAAACAAAGGTTTATACATTAATTTTTATATATTTATTTATATTTTATTTACAATAAAGTCAATTATATGATTATTATCTTTTACTCTTATAATAAGTTGTTTTTTAAAAGAATTAATAGATTTAAATATCATTATATATTTGAAAAAAATCTTTGCTATAGTTTTACATTTACTTGCAATAAAGTTTTATTTTATTTTGTATTGTATTCTAATTTTTTTTTATATAAATTTTTATTTTTTATCAAATGTTATAATACTATTTTACTTTTTTCTAATATTTGATTTTATTATTTTTTTTTTTTTAAACCCTAGGTCAGACTAGATACGTGTGCTTTATTAAACATTTGTATACTGTATATTTTAAATGATTCACTAAAGCTAAGACTTTACCTAACTCACTTGTCGCTATTTTGTCTTAATATATCAAAACTCTAAGTGCAACTTCGGGAATGATTTATCACTTTGTTAATGGTTTAGGTAAATACCCTTCCAACCTTTAACATCATTGCCCACAGATCACCACTACAGATTACTATCCATTGTTCTGACCAAGCTTAAAATCCAACCACTTCATTCTATAAGTAATACCTTTAAGTAGAATTTCTTTCAGGCTTTCATTTTCTTGAGTTCCTTCCTCTGATAGAGGATCTTTACTTTTGGGGACTAATGG